GTCCATATTATTATTGACTTATACATTTTGTGTGAATGATAATTTTAAAGGATAATAAATAAGAAATTAAGAAAATACCAAACATCAATAAGTGGAGAATCGACTAAACAGAAAAATAAGGAACCAGGTACAGTATTTAAGACTTCTTCGGTTCTTCAATGATTCTAGTGTCTCCTGTGATAGCTAAAAATCGTTGGTTCATTGACCAAGTCTGGCACGTATCCTAATCTGTGGGCTTTCGTTTTCTCGAGACGAAAAACAGCTTATCCTCAAGTTGAAAATTCTACATTAGTCGTAAGAAGAAAAGGTAATGACAATTAAAAATCCTATACAGTAATAGAACTAAATTATTGTTATTCATTCAATTGCTTAATTTGGTAACTTTTGAAAAAATGATAGATTAGAATATGTTAAAAGAAGAAATCAAATAATAAAGTAAAACAAAAATTTTTAAAAGGAAAAAACCAGTAAGGACTAGAGGAAAATATAAAATAGATACAAGGATATAAAAATAAATAGAGTTAAAAAAGATAGATAGAAAAAATAAATGACGAAATGACAAAAAGGAGATGGTAATGTAAGAGTTTGATTTTGAAGTATCGTTGCAAGCATTCGAATAATTATTTTTCGAAGTTTAACAAATTAATTTTGTGCTTTGTCAAGCTTTATGCAGATTATACGAAAGTTGGAACTATGCTTAATGGGTCAATTCAATGATACATGGAAGTCTTTACTAATAAGACAAACGAATCAGTAATATTGTTTGACGTTAACATTTTTATCTTTTATGGTATTAACAAGGATGTGGAATAAACTGGATTTTTATATACGGCACTTTAATAGTATGTTTCCGATATATTAACTGTAAATTATATAGCTATTGCTTATATTATTTTTTGTAACATAGTATTTATATTAGAGTGAGTCTGTGCGTGCGTGCGCGCGCGCGCGCGCGTCTGTGTGTGTGTGTTTATGGTATATAGCTATTAAAACTATGTATATAAAATAATGTAAATTATTAATGGACTAATATTTTTATAAAAAGCGTAATGAACTAAATAGTTTAAAATATAAATATGCTTTATAGTACAGTAAAATAGTTTAGATTAACGTTATATAATTGATTGAAAATTTCGTTGTAATAATGTTATAGTACAACTGATATGTATGCAAATAATTAGATGCAATCTTAGTTAATTTTATATATAATATATAGTATTGAAATATTGAATTACATAAAATATAGTTTTTAATTTTATATTCTTTCTAAATAATATTCATTTGCATTTATCACGCTCGTCGTTGAAACTTAAATTAATCCAGGCATTCTATTTCATATCTTTATTGGTGCGTATTATATTTTCGTATATTCGAAACTATATAATTTGTCTAATTCTATACCCGCATTTGAATCTACGCCATTTTTCCTGCCTTGTACATAATTATACATGAATTTATATACATGGAAATAATTAAGACAATGTTAAAATACTTTATAAGTAAAAATAAGTCTAAAATGTCCTTAGTATTTACAAATAATTTTTCTATATATAGAACTTATTGATAATCTATATTCTCGAAAACACGTACCTTCCATTACTTCATATATTGCGGTACACATTCGCGTACATATATATATATATATATATATGTAATATATATGTATAATGCTGTCGCATTATCACCACAGTTTATGCGCACGTAATGCCAAATATTCCCAAAGGAATTGATATCAAGAAATGGTTTTCATAAAACCTGTCAACCTAACAATTTAAATAGAGTTTTTTAAGAGCTATTAGAAGGGCAATGTATAATATATTTAACCATTTTTTATTATAAATATGAGAGAATGAAAAATTCTGCACATATCAATTTATGTTATTAAATTAAGTTTTTAACTTTTGACAATAGTATATCTTTAATATAGAATATAATGTAACATTTCCCAAACATCAAATTTAATATAATTAATTTATTATTCATTTCTATAGTATTTTTGAATTGTAATTAGTATTTATATTTGTATATAATTTTTTACATATTATCAAAAAGATTTAATTTAGAAAATTAATTTTGTCGTTATTTTATTTTTATAAAATCTCTTTTACAAGTTCAGTAATAAATATAGCTCATTTAAAAAGAATGAACTAATTTAGGTTAGCGTCATCCGACGTTTTTGAGTTTTACTTTAATGAGAAATAAAATTAAAAGCATTATATCAACTTATACCTAGAATTTTCTTAAGTCGGAATGGGTAATTACTAAAGACTGATGAAATTATCTGCAGTAGACAGATTCTTCCTGCGATTTTGTCTTTAATATTAAATGTTTATTATAATATTGCTGGATTCTCCTTCCTTTTTTTCATTTGAAGTCATTTCAATAAGTAGTTTCATCTTTTTTCTTATTATTGAATAATTTTCCATTATTTTGTCATTATCAAACTATTTAATATTTTTATTCTTCAAACTATAATATAAAATTTTTCAAATTTTATATTTTCATATCTAGGCTAATACATTAATTTTTCTTTGCTACTCTCTCTCTCTCTCTCTCTCTCTCTCTCCCTTTTGCTTTCTCTCGCCCCTCTCTTCCACTATATTTGTATGCTCTATTATAAAATAATGCTGTTTTACCTCCTACGTTACTAGTTTTTTTTTGTAATTTCTTGGTTTCTTCCTGATTTTTCTCATTTTTTTCTTTTTTGCTAGGATCTCACTTTCGTGAGAGAAATGGAGAAGCTCAAGATGGTTATCGATTTCTTAATGCGTTTTAGCCCTCTCGCAAGTATTCGATCGAATTTTTTCTTTTGAACAGTTGAAAGCAGTAATTTACACACCAAGTTGGTTATATTAGTCGATTAGTTGTTGTTTTTTTTATATAATTTAATATTCAAAGCACATAATGTAGAAAGAAAAGCAAGAATAGAAGTTAGAAAATAAAAATGTTAATATATACGGTAAATCAGAGTAAAAAAATGAAATGGTCTAAATATACTATACTATAAAATAATATACAAGATCAAGTATTTAAAAAAAAAAAGAGTAAGAATATAGTCAAGTATTACAATAACAATCGATGTTTAATATAATATGCAAATATTCTGAGAGATAAAATTTAATATATTTTGACATTTATTGGATAATACATAAGTCAGTATTAATTTGTATATAAACAAATATATCATTTCAAAATGATGATTAAGTTTCCTTTTTCTGAAAAAATTTTTTTGTTATTTGTATCAATTGTATATTTATAAATTGGTGGTGAATGGAATAATATTTCAGTATAATCTAAAAAATTTTCAGTTTTAAAAAGATGACGTGTAAGACCATTTGGAGCAACACAATAATTATACATCGTTAATAAAAAAAACAGGATCACTTATCGGGACTCTCAGTCACGGTGCCATGGGAGCGCTTTCTTTTCTTTCTATCTGTTTGCCTGTCCATCTATTTATTTCTTCTTATTTCTCTTTTTTCTTCCTCCCTCCCTTTCTCTCTCTCTCTCTCTCTCTCGCTCCTAATATTTTAATTTTAAGGAGAAATATCACAAATACATTATTATTTCAGCATTAAAAAAAAGAAAAACACTCTAATTAATTTTAATCTCTAATTCAATTCCTGATATGATTGTTTCGTAGTTATATATCAAAAAATATCTTTTTTCCGAAGAATAAGCATTTTAAAATAATACATGCCCTCTTCAATGTAGATGACAAATAGAGGATTAAGATGAAGTTTGCCTTCCCAAAATATAAAATTCTAAATAATTAAAATTTAGGTTAAAATACTCTTCATTTTAGTTTAATTATAATTACTGTATCAGATGAAAGTATAAATATGAATATCATTGTATCAAATTCAAGTTGGGTATCAGATATATCTGAATAAACTCATTCAAATTAAATTTTAATTTTAACATCTTTTATAGATTTCATAACTTGTTTGAATAATAAATGAAATATATAAACTGATTGAAATAACATGTAGTTAAATATAAAAATATTTGTACTAATACTACACTGAAATAAGTTAACAATTTATGATAAAATGAAGCCTAATTTTCTCATTTCTTAATAAAATATATGGTGTTTCTGTATTTTTAAATTTTATCACTTGAGAAACATTTGCTAGTCAAGTATGCTGTTAAATGTGAAATCTATGAGGTAAAGACGAAAACCGTCATAAACTGAAGCACTAATAATTACATAAAAACTACATTGTAAAACAGATTTCATTCTAACTCGGATTGTCAGGAATTTACAATACTTTGTCTTCTTTTTAATGCTAGATGTGTGTGGGATACATTTTATTTTTTCTCGTAATAGATATAAACCGCGTAGCACATTTTTATCTGGTTCATAAATACATAATATATTGCATCTGTCACTGTACTTAAGAATACATAAATGATTACATCCATTGGTAATAATTATTATGAAAAATAACAAATTTCAATATTGGAGGTTTTAAAATACTGTAAAAATATAATTAACAATATATTTATAATTAAAATATTATACTTAAATTAAGAAACATATTCATAATTAATGGGTAAAAATGAAAAATGCATAGGATACCATAACAGTATTGCATTGAATTAAGATATCAGTAATTTTTATATTAATTTTTTTAATTTCTATTTTAATGACTAGAATAAGCCATATATAATATCTACTTAGCTGTAGATTGCGTCTTGTTTTTTTATAAAAATGAATATACATTATTGTCATATATTTTTACGTTATTTATATATCTAATTTGGAATATGAAAAGTATTATTAAGAATATAAAAATAGTATTGTATAATAACATAGTATTATATAAAAATCACAAAATGATATGTAGGAATCGTATGTTCTAAAATTTCTAGTTTACAAAGAATTTTACCGAATTTTCAAAATTATTAAGCATAATAATAGATGATTTTAATATAAACTTTAGAGTTTATAATTTGAAATAATAAAATTAATTTTTTTTTTTATATTTCTATCTTACCTTAGAGTGTTTGAGATGTCTTTTGCCCTTATACCATGTGATTACAGCTGGTGGTCTTGAACCTGTAGATTCACATTCTAGTTCATACCGTTCTCCTGCTTTTAATGATGTAGTTGTACTTCTGTGTCCATTACCTTTTTTTATTGTCACAGTTAGAGGCTTCACTGAAAAATTGATAAGTTATTAATAAAAGATTTAAAAACATATTAATATATTTTGCATCATTATATTTTTATTTTTGTTGTAAATGCTCTGGATCTTCAATAATCATATGAAAGGTCATATTATACCAATTTTTATCTTTTATTTTTAAAATAAAATATTATTAATAGTAAATATTTTATGATATATTTATATTCATAAATCAATTTTAATCATAGGAAACACAAAGATAAATTTGTATAAATGCACATATAGTGTGCAATATAATAGCAAGTCATATGGTTAATAAATGAGTGTTAGTATTTATTCATAAACCGTTATATACACATTCATTACTGCTTACTTATTTTCGTGACTAAGTAGAGTCAGTTCAAATGAAAACATTTTTCAAAATAAATATCATCAAATTTAATACAACATTGCATAATTTTCATATATTCAAAGTAATATAACACGATAGTGAATTTTCATCAATGTTGTTAACATTATTTATAATAATTTGAAATACATTTTAATAGTATTTTAAAAATTATCTTAATAATTATTTAAATAATTGTTAAATTGTTTATTAAATATTGACAAAATTATTAATAGTTTAATATAAATAGTTAGTTAATCGTATTATAACTGTTACAAAAAAATTAATTTATCATCGATCTGACATGATCCAAATTTGAAATGATTTTCGATGTGTAGATGATAAATATATTGGTAATAACATTGTTTGAGAATGAGAGACTCTTCTTTAATGCAACAAAACATCTGGCAAGTAATATCGTGAAAATTGTTTTTAAGACTTCAAAACTTTCCTGCTCATAATTATTTTGCACTAGTGTCATAAAACATCTGGAAAACTCTAGCGAAACGTGCTCATACTCCCAGTGCAGTAGAACTTAATGGGTTTATTGCCGGAAAAACCCCAAAGGAGATTCAGAACGAATATCAGATATGCGTAAAGCATTGAGTACAAAACATTTACTTGATTCACTGCAACCCAAAACCCGTACGTGTGCACTCGACCTTTAAGACAATGCTTGCATTGTTCTTGGCTATGCCACATCTGGTCGATCGCATTGGAACATTGACCATGCCCAAGCGGACCCTTCGTCTAGCCAAGTCTCAGAGAGGGATGAGGCAACCAAGGAGAAGTGACCAATGGAAAAGGCTCGCCACCTTCCGACACTTTCCCGATTAGCAAATTCGGGACTGAGCCCGGAAGAAAGTGGAAATGAAGGCATGCATAATCTATTGTGGGGCCCAAGATCAACACCTGATTGGTTAATTATTAAAGGAAGAATGGATCCCAAGTGGAGCGGGACCAGTGAACCATTTAAGAAGGGACTACGTAATGTACCTTCACTTATTCTTTTCAAACACTTCGCGCACAATTAAAGGATAAGTCATGACTTACTCTCACGGAGGAGGACCGGAGAGATAAATCGTTCAGCTGAGTTTTAATAAGAAGTTCTTTCTACGATTGTGAATTAGTATACAGTTGAATTGATCTCATCAAGACTAGATTGCATAGGACCAGACCA